GAGGCGTGAGTAGGGGTCGGGCGAGGGAATGCGAGTGGAGTTAGGGGGGGGTTAAGGGTGTACACTTGCTAGTTTTGCTAGAGGTGAAGATCCTTGAACTCTCTTCACCTTTAATTTACCATTTTTAACATTTAAGTATTATTGTTTTTTTAATGTGACTTTAACATTTCCGAAATCGATTCTGCAAATATATGTATTAAGTAATAATTTCATAAATGTCTCGAAGAAGAATATTCCAGTGTAGAAGATTTCTTTCTTTCTTTCTTTCTCTTTCTTTCTTTCTTTCTTTCTTTCTTTCTTTCTTTCTTTCTTTCTTTCTTTCTTTCTTTCTTCGGTTGTCACATGTGGTCTCCGCCTCCGGGCACTCGACGAAGGTCATTGCGTCCCGAAGACTCACAGAGGTTGGCTCAGCTCACCCATGCGTACCTGCAACGACAGAGAACAATCATTAAGGAATGTGCATTCGTCGCATCACTAGAAACACATTCAATCTCTCTCGGAGTACTCATCTCCCAACTGTCTTTCATCGCCATCGGCCAATCGCAGTTTGTAAATACGCTACAGACCGACGCGCTTAATGACAGCAGCTCTAACACTTAATGAGAGGAGCAATTTGGTTGGTTGTTCCACCACGAGACGAACAATGTCTTTGGAGTCTCTTATCGCGTTGTAGGGAGTTCCCAATCATCAGCCACGGACATAAGGGCAGCCACGAGGGACAGATGGACAAGGAAGGACGCGACCGGTATATTCATTAAATGCTCTGGCATTCGCCAGGTAGAGATAAGAGAAAATGAATGGTCGCAACTTTCATTAAGACATTGTTGGCTTCGACATAGCTATTCAGCTGATGAGGCAAATTTTCCCAGAAAAAAAAAATTACATAGATTTTGGAAATAGTCGTAAGAACGTGCAATTATTACTATTATTATTAATTATTATTATTATTTTTATCATTATTATTATCATTATTATTATTATTTTTATCATTATTATTATCATTATTATTATTATTATTATTACTATAATACATTGTACAATTGTTACAATTGCTTATATCTACTTGTCATTAACTTACAATAATCTTACTAATAATCTTAAAATATAACTTACATTACTACTAGGGGGGAGAAGTATCTTTATATAATATCTCTACTTTGTTTCGAGATCTGATAACTTATTTACGAAAGGATGGAAAATAAATTTATTCTTCATGCGAGTTTTGTGGATTGGAGTTTGGCAGAATCTTAGCAGGGTTAGATTGGGTACATTTGGTATGTTTTAAAACAAGTGGGTGGATACAAAAATGATGTGATTGGTTATCGGTTCTAGCTAGAACTTTTTATAGAGTTGAGCATAGGAGATGTACCACGGGCCGTTCGTGATGGTGAGGTTACTTAGAGATTTTTGTATTAGATTTAGCTGCGCTGATCCAAACTGGACATGCATATAATAATAGCGGTAGTATGATAATTTTGATAATAGTATTATACAGCACTAAGGAAGAATTGTATGGTAGTTTAGCTGATCTATTTATTATTGGTTTTAACTGGTGTAGTTTTATTTTTACGTGTATAACTTTATTCTTGGTATGGTTTTTCCAATTAAGTCGGGTGTCTAAGAATAGGGCTAGATATTTTATGGGTTTTAGTTTGTAGATGCCACTGTACAAGTTCTTGATTCATCTTCAAGGAGTATGGAGGGACGGACGAAAGGTCTTAAGGGAAATATTTTAGCTGCTATTTTGACGGAGTTATTTTAATTTTATTTTTGTATGTCCAGCTGTCAATTTGATGTAGATATAATTGAAGACTGATATTTATTGAGTTAATGGTGGGGCTTGATGAATATATAGCCGTGTCATCTGCAAATTGGGCGGTTTTTATTTTACCATGTTTTGTGTCTTCGTGCAAGTTTTAAAGCGCGGGAGATGACGGGGAGCCCTGGGGAAGGCGTGCTTCGACCGCTCTTGGATTAGACTGATGGTTAACAAGTGTATCGGCAAACGTTCTATGTCGAGGAAGTTGGAAATGGTTTATGTAAGTTACGGTGGAGTGTCTGTTTCTTTTATTTTATAGTTCAGAGCTTGATGCCATGATCTACCGAATATTTGAGAAATGTGGAGAAAGATTGCTGTTTTATGATAGTTTTTTTGGAATGTCGAATGAATTTTTTCTGTAATTCTGAGTAGTTGGTGATGTGCGGAAACTTTTTCTGTAAATCCCATTTGTTCCATTGGTATGGCCTTTGAGTTGTGGAGTTGTGTTCTGAATCTGTTTGAAAAGTATTTTTTCTAATAATTTAGATAGCGTGGGAAGTAGACTGATTGTTTGGTAACTGTTGGTTAGCGATGCATTCTTGTTTGGTTTTTGTATTGGAAGAATGATTGAATGTTTCCATACTTGCAGAAAGGAGCCAAGTCTGATACATGAGTTGAATTGGCCAAATATTCAATGAATTTTTGTAGTAATTTGATGATTTTATTTATTTCTTTAGGTGATGTGTAGTGCATTTTATGATGCGGGCCTTAAATATGTTCGCTTACTGTTTTCTTGATTGTGAAAACACAAGGCTGCGCTTGAGGATTATTGAGGGTGAATGTGGATGCAAAGTAAATAGCTAGCTCATCGGCATTCAAAGCAAGTGTGTAATTGTTTCTTGTGGGGGGTGTCTAGTGGGGGGATGGTGTTAGTTTTTCTTAATATTTTGTTTGCAAATTGCCAAATGGATTTGTGGTTAGTGTTTAGTGATTGAATTAATGTTTGGAAAGGCTGATTGTTGACATTTTGATCGATTTACGCACAATATTTATTAGTATGGTAAGTTCTAGTTTTAGTCCTCGTGTTCTTAGTTGTGACAATGATCTGTGGGCTTTGTTTTTGATTCGTATCAGATTTACTATTTCTGCAGAAATTTATATTGTTTATCTTTGTTGGTATTCTTTGGTTTTAATTCGGTCTCTTTAATTGTCGTGTGCATTATGGTGTTTAGTGAGTCAATTGATTGCTCTATATGTAGTGGGTTGGAAAGAATTTTAAATTTACGTATAGTTGAGCTAGTGATATTTTGGAATTTTTTCCAATCAACTTTTAATTTATATTTGGATTTGGTACTCGGTCGTGTGGTGAGGGTATTGAATGTGTCGTTATAAATATCGGAAAGTCGTCCGAGTCTAGTTCGAATAATGTAGTAGTGTGTAGTTTGATTTTGGCGTTAGTAATTCCGATATCAGAATTTTGGGATTTCTTAAGTGATTATGCGGGGCCTGGAGGTGAAATTAATTTGACGGTGGTGCGATGTAGTGTTTGAGAAAATATTTTCCCATCAGCGTTGGTGCTCGAACGACCGCAGTCGGTGTTTTTGGAAATTAGGTCCCCTAGAAGTATAGTTTTATTTAGTTAAAATAGTGTACTAAAGTTATAGAGGTCTAGTTTGTGCTTCAGAGGATTGTATGATGCAATTATAGTCCATATTTCATTTAACATGTCTAATTTAATGGCAACGGTTTCTATATTACCAGTACGAGGAAGAGTTATTGGGTAATGTATTTTTTTATTATGGCTAATTGCACTTCCTAATAGCACACTGTTTTGTTTAGGTTTCTGTCGACTCTGTAAACTGAGTAGTTTGGGATATAACATTTATTCTTTCCCTTTAATTGGCTGTTTGTGATGCAAATTCTATCTACACAGTGTGATTTTAAGAAGTTGGTACTTGACTACGATTAAGCCAAATTATCGAGTAGTGATTCTCCGAACAAAAAGCGCAGATAATTGAGTAGTTGCTCTTATTTTTGCCATAATCCAGACATTGCTGGCTTTGCATGGGATCTTTTTTCCTTGCTTCTGTATTTACTCTATGGTTACAAATTTGCTTAATGGCTAGAATCTTTTCTATTGGATCTTGTCATAAAAACAGCTGCAACTACTGGGATATGTTTTTCTTTGTGAAGTCTCGTGCTTTTGTCATCGAAGGAAAGCGTTATTTTAAGTCTTGATTTATTTTTTGGTCAGTAATGGATTGAGTGACGTTCTTGAACACTACCGGTACATTTTTATTTAATGGGCCTTAAAAGGAGTGAAAACTTCGATCAGTGTTAATGGAATAGATGATAAAGTTTCGAAAGTCCGGAGGTTGCACTTATTTTTATTTTTTATTGTTTTTATCTGCAATGAAGTTTGAGGTGACTTTAGGTTTAAGTTCTTTGATGAATGCATGAATACTGGCTATGTGTGCTACTATGATATCGTATTTTATTGGGGGTTTCACTTTGATTACAAGGAAGGTCGTTGATATGAACTTTTTTTTTCGTTTGCTTGCTATCGAGCTCACGTAATGATCCGAACCTGTTTTGACCGGCACACTCTTTAATAGAGATTTAGATTTTTCGTTTTGATCACCGTAACTGCCGTGATTGCTACTGAATTTTTTGGGCTCACGCTCTCTATATCATTTTCAGTCACAGACCTTTTTCTGGAGTTTGAGGAGTCTTTTTCCAGTAGTTGAACGGTTGGGGGTTGGCTGAGTTGGAGAATCGGTTTCTTGCCATCGGGACCGGCGGAGTTATACTGATTGCTGTTCTCCAGCGTCACCTCTATTTCGTCTTCAATGAATTTATTTGCATTATCCGGGATGGAATTTCCATTGTACTGGCTGGTTCTCACTGTTGTAATTATAATTTGGGATTGTTACGGTGCGCCGCGTTTCTCCCCACCACCCCATTAATAGAGTGGCGAACTACAAAGCATCAGTTTCATCGCAACAGATCTGACAGGGTCGCTCTCACTACACCTCGCCACCATTGTCGGACGAAGAATCTGGGCTAAAAATACATCATCATTATTATTGCTGTTGTTATTATTTATAAAAATCAAAATATGATTTACCATAAACAACACTTGTAAAACAGGAGACGATTTTATATGATTAACAATAATCAGATGCATTTTGTTTCAATCGTAATCATAAATCTAATGCTACTTGCTTGCTCGACTCCATTTCCTTTCTTTTCTCTTTTCCACTTTTCCAAACTGAATTCTGTACATCACAAGTTTATCATGCATGACTGTCATATACGTGTTCACTCATTCACATTTTTTTTTATAAACAGTAAATTCGGAAGACATTGTGGAAAAACTAAATCAAGTACAAATAGTCGTATACAGTGTTCACCGCACCAAAAAGATAAAATGAAAGGAGACAAAACCACGCACTGGCTCGATGATTGACTTCTGCCCCCTTGAAGAAAAGAAACAGCTACTCGAACGGAGGCAAGGACGTAAATTGACACCGTCACGTGGCCTCGTCTTACTGTCGCGCTATTCTCACGTACCCTAGCCGAGACTTTTTGAAACAACCTTCCTTTCTAAACGAAAGCTCGTCGCCCTTAAAAATTGAATGAAGCTGTGCTTTCCCCCGCCGCGAGA